GCATATTTTCAGGTGATGTTAAAATTGTAGACTTAAGTGGATTTCGACCGCGATTTAATTTTTTGGTTGGTGCCACGTATTTTAACGGCCCACTTTTCACTGACATCCTAAATTGGTGTAGTTATTCTGGCGCGAAGCTTTCCATCTCTAAACGCAAGCACTTGCACATCTGTAGAAAAACGAGTTGCAATTTCAAGATCAACTCGACCGCTTACCCTCTAAGCTTAAGCGACCACATAAAGGTTCTTGGTTTAACCATAAGCAAGAGATACAGATGGAAAAAACACATTGACTCACTGACAGTCCAAATCTCCAAGCGTCTCAACATCATAAAATGGTTGGCAAGCCAGAAATACAACTGCGATACAAGGACTCTTATAAGCCTCACAAATGCCCTTATAATGACCAAAATTGACTACTGCCTCCCATTCTACGGAAATTGCCCTGCTTCATACTTAAAAAAACTTAAAGCCAATTACCATTCAGCTTCAAGGCTGGCGTTTGGAGCATTTCGCACCACCCCCTTCAACAATCTCCCTTTTGAAGCCCAATTGATGCCAATAGAGCTAAGGTTTGAAATGAGCATAGCAAAGATGTGCAAGGCATTACTGTTCGCAGCAAACACCCCAATTCAAAGCTTTCTACAAAAAATAAAACAGTCGAATCGAACACCCAGACTCCAATCAGTCTTACGTAAAGCATTCCAGTTTTCCAAAGATAATGGCACATTTACGCCACCTATAAAACCATACAAACAAAAGACACCACCATGGTTTTTCTGTGCATTATACAACAAAGGCAATCACTCCGCCAACAGTATACCAACAAAAATTTATATCTCTCAAGGAAAACTTTCATAACTACGGGTTTATTTATACGGACGGTTCCAAATCCGCCCAAGGAGTATCCTATAGCATCACGACAGAAACAACTGTAATTAAAACTGCCATTCTTCCGACATTCAGCTCAATTTATACGGCAGAGGTGGCAGCCATCTATGCTGCATGTACAGTGGTGCTTATAGACTTAAGCCACTGACACTACCATAAACTGTTTTCTTAATAACTTTTTTGAACATATTTATTTCGGCCTGAAATTTTTGCATTTTGCAACACTGTTATTTAAGCATCTGATCACAGTAAAAAATGACAAGTAGGTGTTCGTATTTTCCAAAAAATTGACTAAATGTCAAAAAGGAGTATTGTGCTCTACTCATATACTTAAGCCACCTTGAGCTAAAATCGTCAAACTTGTGTTTTTTCCGGAAAAGTTGTGCTAGTTATTTTCTAAACTAAAGTATTGAATACTAAATACGTTTCCGAAAACAATTTGACCGCTATGGCTAAAAATAAGAATTCAAATTCGGCCGAAAGAAAAACACAAATATTCTACAAATTTGTAAGACTTTATATTTTTCGCGTGGCCAAGTCAGAAATGCGATTGCATTTTATAAGAAACATGGAACCTGGGAAAGTGTTCCACGTGAAAAGCCCAGAAAAACCACTTTAAACGACGATAGACGGATTTCCAAAATCAGTAAAGCCGATCTGTTCTAGACTTGGACGCAAATCAGGGGTCAAATGGTGGCAGATTACGGCGTGAATGTGTCAACTCAGACCATAAGAAGACGGCTAAATGAATTTGGGTTATATGGACGCATTGCCTAAAAAAACCATTGCTGTCAATTAAAAATGTTAAAAAGCGCCTTCAATTCGCCAGAGAGCATATTCAAAAAGGTCCCAATTTTTGGAACATGATTGTTTGGAGCGACGAATGCAAGTTTAATGTCTTTGGGAGTGATGGTAACCCATATGTACGACGTTCTCCCAACAAACAATTGGACCCCAAATACACGAAGAAGACTATTAAACATGGTGGGGCTTCGATTATGGTCTGGGGCTGTTTCACCGCATCGGGCGTAGGTCCCCTAGGGAAGACAGAAGGCATTATGAACGGCGAAATGGACAGGGACATCCTTGTTAACAATTTATCTGGAGAATATGCCGATAATTTGCCACTTGCCTGGATATTTCAACAGGAGAACGACCCGAAACACACCAGCAAAATAGTCAAGTCGTGGCTTAATCTATGTTTTGCAATGGCCACCGCAGAGCCCCGACTTTAACCCTATAGAGAACTTGTGGGGAATTGTTAAACAAGTCGTTGGCCAAAAAAAACCAGCAAATAAAAACGATTTGTGGCGAGTTTTGCAAGAAGAGTGGAAGAAAATCACCCATCAACAGTGCGCACGTCTTGTGGACTCAGTGCCAAAGCGTTGCTCCGCTCTTCTTAAGCAGAAAGGTCATCCCACTCAATATTGAAGTAAATTTATTAAAAGTATAAGGAATATTGGGAAAATTTTAACTTTTTCAACCAATATGTTCCAGGTGGTTTAAGTATGTGAGCAGGACATTTTGGAGATGGTCTCAGATTTTTTAAGTTTTTCGTTGAATGTATATTTTTATAACTTGGTTATTCTTCTATTAGAACACTGATATATAGAACTAATGTGACACAAAAAATTGGAGCTGTGAAATAAAAACTTTTCTTAATTTTCGTTTAAATTTTTGGTTTAAGTCTTGTGGCTTAAGTATATGAGCACCACTGTAAATATGCTGACAAACAAAAGAAAAAAGTGATTATCTGCTCTGATTCCCTGTCTGCTGTAACTTCAGTTACCAACACCAACAACCAATCCATCTATACTGTTCGTATTCGAGAGATCCTCAACCGCCACCAACCAAAAATTATATTACTGTGGATTCCAGGCCATAACAATATTCCTGGTAATGACACAGCAGACCCAGCAGCAAAAGAAGCTCACAAATTCCCACAGGTTATGGAAGCCAACTTTAACTGCACAGACACATAATCATTCATAAAAAGTACTTTCAAGAAATAAATGGAATCGATCTGGCAAAACGCATCTGACCACTACAAATATTTAAACGAAAAAAAATTTTCAATCAAAGATTACACTATCTCATCCGAAGACATCATCAACCGCAAAGATCTCACAAAGTTCTTAAGAATAAGTGCTAGCACTGCGGTACGCGAAACCACGTGCGGCACTTTTTCTAGAGTGTCCAGTCCACGAAACTTCAAGAAGCAACACCCTCTCCATAAAGTCACCTGATGCCCTATCCCCAAATCCATCAATATCGTCAGCGCCAATAATTTTACCAAGGCCATACGCTTATATAACAATCTATAAATTTTGTTAATAACTATATATAAATACACTTTTGCTGAAAATATGTATATAACATCCTCCTAGCTTAAGGCCCAGTAGCTATAGCTAGAATAAGTGGTTGGTGGCAATTTGCAATTGTCCCAAAACCAGAATATAAATAAAGAAATAAATAAATGGCCCAACTGTATTTAATGTATCTTGCAGAGATGATGATGAACTTGCTACATTTCACATCAATGTACCCAACAAGCCTGAAGAGCTAGGTATTTCAGAAGGTTTAGAAGTGGTGACATTCTCTTCTACCACCATCATCAAATCGCGTTCTGGTAGGACAATATCGTCTTCAACGCTTCTCCATCTAAATAGGCAGCTCCAAATTCCTTGTTGCAAAACACATTTGGGTTTGGGCTGTAACCCCGACTTTATTTTTTTAGGGGTCGCAGAAATATCTAATGCTTGTTCGGCGATAAGAGAAACGTGATGAATGTCGAATGCCAGGCCGAGATTGTTAATTTGCCATCAATTATGGAGTTGGGAGATTAAAGTCTTAAAAGGCGAGAAGACCGATCCTCCAGCTGCTCCATATTATGGGTACAATGTGGTGGAAATGATAACATGGTTATGTTGTTTTCACTTGCCAAATTAAGAGCTTCAATTGATAGGTGGGATGTATGGTTGTCTACCAAAAGAAGCGTTTGCAAACCTTTTTGGCACCAGAATGTTTGATGAAATGATTCAAGAATTTCGAAAACTCGTCGGCCAGTCGTTTGCATACCTACAAATAAAGAAAGAATTAATGTTAAGGAATTACTGGACACCTTGTTAAAATTCAAATATTTGTAAAAGAGATGTAAACAAAAACACCTGTCCCACGGCTTCCGGGGCATGTGTCATGAAAATGGGTTTCTTGTGCTTTTGGGGGAAAATACACCACCACCTCTTTTTGATAAAGCTTTTATGACTTTAATTGGAACGGTTGGGACTCCAGTTTCATCAATATTCCAGATGCGGCTCAGCGAGTAGGGAGTTCTAAAAACAGTTTTATGGTTTCGAAAAAAGGAATCAACATTTTCCTTGTTGAAGTTCTTCGCACGGTTTGTGCTAACTTGCTCTGGCGTTCGCAAACTTAAAATAGGACGACGATTTTTAAATGCATAATGGAATCCTCTGCTCGCCTTACGATTTGCGTCCAATGAAGGATGATATTTCGCTTGGATTTTTTTAGCATATTAATACGCTAGGACTCTACATTTTTTAATACTTAAACCATAATAAAGCGAGCTAGCTCGAATGAGATAATTTACCAATTCTTTTGAAATATTATTGAATAGGTATGGATAATTAAAACATTACTAAATCGACTCGGCTAGTGATTCTGATCAAGAATATATATACTTAATGGGGTCGAAAACGCTTCCTTCTGCCTGTTACATACTTTCCGACCAATCTAGTATACCCTTTTACTTTACGAGTAACGGGTATAATTACCTCACGAACAAATTACGGGACTATTTATTAATATTACTGTAAATACATTGTCGACACGATAAGAGGAGACATTTATTTAATTAAATTTTAACTTATAATTTAAACCTAAAACAAAAGTGTGACTTCACTCCCAATTTAAGGGTTACTTTTTGTAATATAACTACATATAAGAATATTTGGCCAAGGAAATAAAACATAAATTGAAAAGCTGTGCAAACAGAGGTGAATGTCAAGTGTAATATAGAGGAAGTTACATTTACATACAGCCCGCAGATAAGAAGTATAAAAGCGCTCACATATCCCCAGGTAAGACACATTCAGCATGCGCTTCTCGTTCGTAATAGTCCTCGTCGTCCTAGGATGCCTCCTGTTCATCCAGGAGGGCAGTGGGCAGACGAGCTCATCCTCCACCTCCTCCTCGGCCACCACCACGACCACCGCGTCCTCGGCCTCCTCGGCCACCACTACCACTGTTTCGTCCGGCACCACAACCACCACAACCTCCTCCGCCTCCTCCGCCTCCTCCTCCTCCTCGGACACAACCACGACCACCGCCGCCTCGGCCACCACCACGACCACCACCACCTCCTCGTCCTCGTCCTCGAGCGCGGCTGCCCGTCGTCGCAGAGCCGCCGCCCGCCGCCGCCGATTGGCACAACAACGTCGCAGGCGTCAACAGCGTCAACAGCGCCAAAGGCGCCGCCGCCAACAACAACAACAAAGGAGACGCCAGCGAAGGCGGCGACAGAACCGGGGATAGGCGAAGTTCCAAGCCTAGCGGGTTAGGTGTCTCTTTCCATAAACCAGAAAAATTTCTATCGCTATTTGAACCAGCGGTACAGCAGCGGAGTCTTAGTGAAGCATTTCATTATTTACAAATATGGAAAGAAGTTAGTCCCAACAATCCGATACTTGTGTACAAATAGGTAACCTTGGCATATGCCAACTATTTATAAATTAAGTTTTCCATCACGCGATACGTGTGTAGCGTGTAACGGTTGGATGCTGTGGATGATCGGGAATCTGCAATTCAGGAATAAGTATTATAGGGACAGAAAAGTTTTGGAGACAGTTAGCTATGCGAATCCACCGATGGTATTGTGGTCGCATATGGCCTCCCAACCTATGATCACCACCTTAAAACATGGCTTCGGTGACCCTTTGATACCTTACGACCGAGAAATCAGCAGCTTAGTTCAGTTCAGTGTTATTTAGAGATCCATGGTTTTATTTTTGCTCTAAAAACTTCTTCAAGGGACTTCTTCGAATTTATCATTTCGTGTTTTTTAGGCAATTAGAGACTTTACGAGTTAACAATAGGCGATCGTAATTTATATTTAACTTCATTTGAAAATTAATTCAAAGAGAATGCAAATAACGCATAGGATTTTAATTAATAAATTTTTTTAGATCGGGGTTTATGTTTAAGTAAGTTTCGTTCACTTTACGGATCGGCGAGAAATGTGAATAAAGTAATATATATATGTGATTAGTTAGTGTGACTACTGGTTTAAATCCCTGAATCTGCGGCAGCGATATTCCACTCGGAAATCTCCCAGACGGATACGCGCACCCCTAAAACTCGACTGGTGTACGGATGCGCGGCATGATGGGCATCGGAACAGGCTATATAGTTGAATTAAATTGCCATTTGGTCCTCAGGGCCGCTCTAATACCACTCTAATACGCGATGCCAAAAATAATACCTCCTAACACGCTCGACAGTCTTATGTATCCCGCCGTGGGAAGCCAATGGACTGTTATTGGCTTGGAAAAGAACTTTGGGGATCAGCTCTAATGGTAACCAAATCTTCCATGCGTATTCGTCGTGTACTTGTTCTCCACTTAAATGTTCTGCTTTTCTATACAAATACCCGTCCTCTGTTTTAAGATCAGGGAAATTATCTTTTTTCTCTTCAACCTTGGCTACTAGATCTTTGTAAGCAGGAGACTTAAAGTGGTTTGAATTTATATCGACTAACAAACCTTCCACAGCCGCGACTTCGTCCTCGTTAACGCGGGACAAGGAATCAGGAACCACGTTCATTGTGCCCTTCCGATGCTCAATTTTAAATCGGTATCTTTGCAAGGCTAACGCCCATCGAGCTAAACGAGAACTGAGATCAGGTTAGACATAAGCCATTTAAGGGAGGCGTGGTCAGTTATGATCGTGAAATCATGTCCTTCCACGTAAGCTCTAAAGTTCTTCAAGACTATTGCCGCCAGACACTCCTGCTCGGTCACGGTATAATTTCTTTGAGCTCGATTTAGTTTTTTCAAGATAAATGCTAAAGGGCGTTCGTCTCCATCCTAAGATACCTGTACTAACACAGCACCGACACCAGACTTGCTAGCATCGCAATGGATAGCAAATGGTTTAGAAAAGACCGGACTACATAGCACCGGAGCTTCGCTAAGACGAGTCTTCCAGATTTCAAAGGCTTTTAGTACTTCTGGAGTTAGACTGAACTTTCGTTTGGTTGTCATTAAATCAGTTGAAGGAGAAGCGAGTGATGCTAAATTCGGAACGAATTTGCGGTACCAACCACATAAGCATATAAAACTCCTCAAACCTCGCAGGGTTTTCGGAACGGGAAACTCGGTGATTGCTTTCACCTTTTCAGGGTCTGTACGAATTCCGCCATCACCAATGATATGGCCCAGATAACGTACACGTCGCATGCAGAAATGACTTTTGCCAATATTGATTGTCAATCCTGCACGCTTGATGTGAACGGCGATCTCCCTAAGTACGTTAAGATGATTCTCAAAATTTGACGACACTACCAGGAGGTCATCCAAGTATATGAATACCTCGTTCCTGAGATGCGGTGGGACGACTTTATCCATCAAGCGAGACATTGTGCTGGTGGCATTACAAAGCCCAAAAGGCATTATTTAAATTGGTAGAGTGGCCTACCGGGGACTGTAAATGCAGTCTAGTCTCGGGATTGAACTTCCAACGGCACTTGCCAATATGCTTCTTTCAAGTCAAGACTAGTAATATACTCGGCTCTTGGCAACCGACTTAAGATGCCGCTGATTTGTGGAAGTGGATATGTGTCTTTCTCGGTGAAACTATTGACCTTTCGACAATCTAAACAAATCCTCACTTTGCCAGGTTTAGTAACCATGACGATGGGAGAGGGCCATGCGCTTTCCCACTCTTTAATAATAATATTTCTCCGTACATACTCTTCTGAACGGCAGGTGAGACGGGGAAATGACGCTGTTTAACCGGCTTAGCACTGCCCACATCAACTGTATGTGTAATCAAACTAGTCTGACCGAGACCTTCCTGAGCGAATGAAGGAAACGAATTGATAACATGAACTATGAAGAAGATCATACAGCCTCCAAAAATCTATGCCCAAGTATAGATCTTGCTTTAGTGATGGTACAATATAAATGTTTAAAATCGTTTGAATGTTTCCATATTCTATGTTAACTTTCATCTTGCCTACTATTCGTTGTGGGCTTCCATCTGCCGTGGTAGCACTAACGTTTAACGACTTGTAAGCATTGTCCTTCTTCGAGAGTTCGCTGGCTAAATCACCTCCAAAGCAACTTATAGATGCCCCGGAGTCAAGTAAACCGTACACGGTACGATCTAATAAACGAACCGGCAAAAACGGTCGAGGATCTCTTATTTCTATCGGAACAGAAGAAATATATTTCAATCCTAGCCGACAGGTTCTAATGTTTTGCCAAAAAGATTTGATTCTTTTAGAACTCCGAGATTTAAATCTTTCCAAGAGAGGGTTAAGACAAAATTTTGGATTTGGAATGTCAGGTAAATTTTTAACTTTACAATGCAGTAAAGAGCTGGCATTGCTTTCCGGTACGTCAGGAATAATTTGTGGTGCAACGAACGGTACATCCACATTTAATCGGTCATCGTTGACTGATTGCGAAAGGCACTCGAAGTTTTCGGTTTGTACGGCAACTTCGAAGCGCCGGACTTGGAGTTTTTTGCTCACTTCGCGCAATTTGTTTTGTAGGTGTTATCTGCTCCACAACCGTAACAAAAAAGTCTTTTATCGGCTAAACAATCGTTGTAAATGTGCCCAGCATTTTAAGGTAATCGCGTCTACTTCTAACTCGTTTTCCGATTCAGAACCTTTCTGAGATTCAGATTCTGGAATCAGTTCTGATATTTCGCGTCTAAATGGGCTACTTTTACAATAACCGTTAGCGCGTTTGACGTCGTCGAGAAAAGCTTCGCGTCGACGAAAGGTTTCTCTCAACTCTGAGACTGTTGAAATATCGACACTCAATAACTCATGTCGTATTTCAGGCCTCAGATTATTCTTGAGAACTCGGACAAGTTTTCTCGAGCTCCATGGTATCTCTAGTTGATCGACTAAAATGTTTACGCTATCGTAAAAATTATCGAAGGTTTCACTAGGCTTCTGCTTCATCCTTTTTCTGACGAAATTGCATTCGTAAAGCAGAACACAACCTATCCCAGCGGACTTCAGTTACCGATTTATGGTAACGCCAATAAAATTCGTTGGCCTTGCTCTCGAAGAGAACGCTGACGTTTTTACAAAGGACTGAGAAATTCCCATCTAACGTTTGATGCGTCAGCGCCTCAAGTTATCTACTAAAACACCTGATCCCGAAAATTTAATATTCCATCCGTTTAAAATATGAACGACCTTGTCGGGTCTAGTTAGGAGATCGGACATGTTACTTCGGTGAGAGCCAGGAGAACCTATGTTAGGCAGGACCCGATGTCTGTTTTGAATTTGCTCGACAACAGCTGGCTCGTTATTTTCCTCGTCTACTGGAGGAGGAATTGCTGATCTTTCCTCGCCACTTATAGCGGAATTTGGCGGAGTTCTGATCAGTCTCTGTACACTTTCTTCTACTGAATTCTGGATTAAATCGGTAATTTTCTCTGAAAGAAGCGAAAATAGCCTTCGCTCCATGGACACCATTGTGACTGTGTTTATTGCGGTTGCTTGATCAGTAACACTATAATTGTTGCTCTGAGCGCTACCAGATGGGCCGGGGTATTATCGCTAATTCCTTGTTGGCGACCTTTAGATTGAGACCGAGTTTGTAAGCACTTTTCGACCACTGGCCTGCATGAAACTTTGCATACTGGACACAAGTCGCTTTTCTTGAAATGCGCATCAATGCACTTCTTATGAAACTCGTGACGGCATATGGTTTCGAAAAGTTCGGAGGATGATTTCATTTCGGACTTGCATATCGGACAGACTGGCTTGGTGGCTTCCTGAGAGCCTTTTCCTGAGATGGGTCAACCCGTTTAGAATAATTTAGAAATAATTAAATTTAAAGAAATACAAAAACCAAAGAGAATCCACCGTAGTAGATATAAAACTAAAATCTTCTCGATATATAAACAAAAAAAAGTAGTAAAACTGAACTTTTGCTGGATGTTCCCCGTATCGTAGGATAACTAAATTATTATTTTTTAGCTGCTAAACTTTCTCGGAAAAATAATAAGAGACAGATTAAGCGGACTTCTCGTTTTCTTTATGTATGTCTCCATGTAGGAAACGGTAAGATTTTCTAAAGTATATTGCGGACAGAGTATAGTTCGAGAACTAATACTGCTGTATTTCTGCTTCACTAATAAAAAATGTAACCGCACTAAGGCTAAAAGAAATTAAAATTTCTATAGGTCTTTCGTGGATAGTGTACCACGTGTAGTTGTACCTATTTTCCAAACGCTTGAGTCTATAGAAACCTTTTAATTAACAGAGTGTGGTTAAGTTTATGATGTAGCAAATCAGAAAGGGTCAGAAGATCTACTGTAGTTTGATACTTTCTGCATTTTCCTCGGACTAAGTTTTCTAAACACCACTAACTAAGTAAAGAAAAATCCTTACTCTGATTATTAATTTTGGCCAGAAAGAAAACTAATGTTCTTTGTCTCTGTTCTCCAAAAGAATTAACGATCCAAGAAAGGTATTTTGTAGAAGTGAATAAATTAAAAGTTGAAATTAAAGAAGTATAGAAAAGAATTCGAATTTAATTACCGGTGAATCTTAATGAGATACTACTGTACTCACTAAGGCCCCACACGTTGAGCGCCACTTTTCTTATTAGTAATAATGAATTATCTCTGTAGCGTGTAACGGTTGGATGCTGTGGATGAAATCGGGAATCTGCAGTTGCGGGGCACGCTATTAGGGTCCGGCACTCGCTCGTCGGCTTTGGGGTGGAGGTCTTGCGCCTACAGATTCGCGTACTGACTACACATTATTATCGCTAAGATCAGAAATAAGCGTGCTAGCGACAAGAGAGAATAGTTCATTAAACCCGGAAGAGAACGATACATTAATTCAGGAATAAGTGTTATAGGGACAGAAAAGTTTTGGAGAAAGTTAGCTATGCGTTAGCAACCTATGATCACCACCTTAAAGCATGGTTTCGGAGATCCATGGTTTTATTTCTGTTCGAAAAGCTAATTAATTTTTCG